CCAAATCTGGACTCTTCTTTTAAGTGATTGCAGATCTAAGGGTAGAGAATTAAAGGAATTTATTTTCTCTAGTTTTCTTAATTGGATCATATCTTTTTCATTCTAACTCGGATTTCAATTTTTTTTGCACAGATGGAACGAGTTCATTGTGCTCTACAAAATGATATCCATTTTCAATATTTTTTGAGAAAAAAATTTGCATCCCTCTCGTTACCAACTCCATACCATATGGTATCTCCTTCGTTATTTAGTCATTTTCGGAATTTTTTTGCACAAAAGGAACGATTTAATCATGATCTATTGGATTTCAAAATTTTCTGGGGGAAAAAATTTCAAACCTCTCGTTACCAACTCCATACCATACTATATATACCACCCTGGTATGAGGTGGTATTTTTCATACCATATCAATAGCATATGCTGTTATTTAATATCAGTCAATACCATATGGTATTAAATAACAGCATACCATATGGTATGCTGTTATTTAATACCATATGGTATTGACTGATATTAAATAACAGCATATGCTATTGACTGGTATTTTTCATACCATATGGTATGCTGTTATTTAATACCAATCATTCACTACAAAATTGAGAAGCTTTGGGGACAATAATAGGGGACAAGTAATTTGGTTTGTCTTCGGAAATTCAAAACTTAGTGGTACTAGGGACAATTTGATAATATCATCCCCGGAGAAGGAAGAGGCCGGAAATCATATTGGGAGAATAAATTTAGTCGTCCCCTAAATCAAATAAAGAACCGGAATTAAATTTACAATCCCAAACAGCCGCCTGTTTTCTTTCTTCTTCTTTTACCCCTATGTTTTTGGAATTTGAATGTATATATTATTAGCCCATAAATGGTACACCGTCCACTGTTCTTGTCCCTAATGCAAAAGGAACAAAGAAACCCTATGTGTTTATGCTTCTCTTCCATTTATTAGTTTGGTTTTATTAATAAATTCACATTTATTAGTTTCTTTGTGTGGTGTGGAAGTTGAGAACTTGAGATTTTAAATGTTGTATTTAAACTTTACATGTCATGAGGAGAATTTTTCTTTAAAAAAAGAAACATAATATTTATTATTGAGCAAAATATGAGACCACAAAAATATTTTGTATGTATAATTGTTAATCTCAGCTAAAAGTTAGATTGTTTTGAGAACGTAGAAATTTATTTTCCTCTTCTGATTTTTTGAGTGACCACCAAAATCATTCCACCTCCAAATAATATATTTATAAATTCATACATTGAAACAATCCATCTAATTAAAATACATAAACAAATTAAATACATCCATTTAAAATCTCTAACTTCCAAACATACCTTTTTATGTATTTGGTTTTGGATTTTCGCAATTCAATTTGTAATAGTATTTCTTTTCATTTGCTTTTATTGAAACATACCTTTTTATGTATTTGGTTTTGGATTGTCGCAATTCTATTTGTAATAGTATTTCTTTTCATTGCTTTTATTGGACCGAGTATTCCTTTTCCTTTTTGGATTGGTGAGGATGTATTTTAAATAGAGGTTGCTGTTATTGTGTGAGCCATTTATTCTAAAGCTTTCAATATAATTTTTCTTGTCACATTTTGTTCTCAATTGGTGCTCTAAATTGGGTTATAGCTTTGAGTTGTTTTTCTTCAAGGAGGTCTAAATTCTTGATTTGTCCCATACCGTATCTAGGGATGACAATTACCCATTCATAGGCATGGTTGTCGCGCCAGTAAAATGTGGGTCGATTGAACCTCCAATTCCGATCATGAAATAGGCATGAACATCATCAATATAACCGAACTGATTGATTTACCACTTCTAAGCAAAATGACGTCGTTTTAGTGAATTTCATTAATAAAAAAATTAATTTATTATTTATTTTATGAATTTAAAAGTTAAATATTGATGTTATTTGTTGGATTCAATTATAAATGTTAAGGTATTGAGGTTAATTGTTGTATTTAAATATGAGGATTTGTTATTTTATTTTAAATGTTGTATTTTATAGGTACCAATACGGATTGTCTCAAATATGTTATTATATATGATAAACTTTTTGATGTTAATGGATTTTCACATTTATACATATTTTGTTAAATTGGTATGAACTGTCACAAACTGGTTGTACCCCAGTCAAAACATTTCATTTGCTAAACCAGTGAAACGGTATAAACCGGTTTTACAACCTTGTATACGGATAATTTTATCCAAACCCAAGTAAACCCATTAACTATGGGTAGGTTATGGGTGAAGTATATATATGAGTTTAAAGTTTTGTAAATGGATTTGGGAATGAATATGAATTTGAAATTGTTTATGATAAATGATAACTTCATTTTTAAATTAGTGTATTATACAGGTCATGTATATTATATATCATGAATGGTTCTGTAAATGGTTAACCAACAATTTTGTAAAGGGTTAACCATTTACTCTAAACCACTAGCTTTTCCGGTTTGGCATCCGCTCCGGTTCTAAAAATGAAGAAGCAAATTGATGTAATCGAATTTTAATTATTTACTGGGGTAAAAGTAAATTGTTATTTGATCCCCTTATGTCAAAAGGAAAAAAAGTTAATTGTTCCCATAAGCAAGAGTTGAAAGTCTACTCTAAGTGTTTAACTATATTATGCTTTTCCACTATTTAAACGTCGGTCCCCAACCATTATTCACTAACTTGACAGGCTTTGGCAGGCGCCAAGCAGGGTTAGCGAAAATTCTTTGTGGCGGGCTAGCCAAAATTTTGAGCTCTGGCGGCGGGAAACCAAATTCCGGGGTTAAGTCGTAAAGGGTTTTCTTTTTTATCAACAAATTAAAAAGAAAATAAAGGCACTTAGGGTTTGGGTTTCACCTTTATAGAGGTAGGCTAGACACACAACTCCTCTTCCCCGCACGTTCTTCTTCCTGGAAACGAATTTTCCTCCGCGTTCAAGTAAGCCGATCCTCCTTCAATTCTATCATCTTTATTTTCCTGGTATATATGGAGATACCTCACACTCTCTTTCTATTCCTGCCATTTTCCCCAAAAAAACTGCTCAAGAAAATCCCAAGGCTTTCGATTGTTTGAAACGCAGCACAGAGATATTAAATTTCATCGTGACGGCTAGGTACGAAATCCCCCTCTAAATCTTTGGTTCGCTTTTATATTTCCACAACCAGAAGAAAGAAAACAATCAAAGTACTTTCTCCTCCATATTTCGTGTCATATGTCTTTAGATTTTGCATTGATTTTGCTCAGAAGGTTAACATTTAAATTCTGTTTTATTATTTTTTCAGGAGATAAAAGAAGATGTTTGTTGATCAAATTGGGCGGTGGTATTGTGTAGATATATGATAGTGAGCTTGCAATAGGTGAAATCATAGCACAATTTATGGATTTTGATTGTCTTTTAGTTGTTTCGATTATTGTTTTCAAATGATGAATGCCAATGTTCTTATCATGGGATTGGAATGATATTGTTGTATATTTGCTTCAATTTTTTATGAAGACGATTTGATGACAATATTTTTATTAAGTTTATGTCCCGAAAAGTTCTAAAAGGTGAGTTAAATTTTGTGAGACATGTTGATTTCCCTGTGACTTATATTGGTAATAATTTTTGGTTCCTTAAGATATTGATTTAGTGATACATATCGTCTCTAAAACTTACAACTATGTCAATTAGTCGTCCCTCATCATACTATTTAAGGACAAATGGGCGACCTCATAAATTACATAAGTGACAAGTTTTCATCCTCCAATACACAACTAAAGAGATAATTGGTTGTTCTTACAAGTTAAATAGACAACTTATTAAGAGACAACTTGTCGTCCCTAAAAGTTTCAATTGTGACATTTAGTCGTCCCCTAAGACATAAGGTGAGAAACAAATTGTCGTCCCTAAAACTTGCATAGGTGACAATTTTTCGTCTCCAAAGATATATTATAAGGGACTACCGGTTGTTCATGCCACACTTTTAGGGACGATTTATTGACTTCAATTCGATACCTATGAGGACGACATGTAGACCCTATTAAAAGAAAAGGGGACAATATATTATCCCCAGATAGCCACAAGATTATCATGACATGGATGATTGGGGACAATGTTTTGTCCCTAGAAATAATGTATAGGGGACGATTTATTGCCGATAAAGTCATGGCTATTGGGACGACATGTTGTCTTTCATGAAAAAGAAACGAGACGCAACTCCTGAGCATTGGGGACAGCTGTCGTCCCTAGTAATGGGGACGACCTCAAATTTTGGCGTCCCCAAAAGAATAGAGGACAAGAGTATAGGGAACCACACTTTGGGGACGATTTAATCGTCCCAAAAAACTATAGGGACGATTTTCCTTATTTTCGGGGACGACTTTTGTCGTCCCCAAATCTCTTCTTTTTTGTATGATTCAGTCAATACCATATGGTATTTTTTCATACCATATGGTATAGACTGGTAATAACTATCAAATTTTTTTTGTTCCAAAAAATATCAAAGTGGATATCATTTTGAAGAGCACAATTAATATAATCTAACTGTGTAAAAAAAAAATTCCGAGTTAAAACGAGTGAGAAATCATCCATTAAAGATTAAGAGAAAGAAAATTAATGATTTTTCCAGGAGAGAGAAGGAGGCGCTGATGTGACAGATTCTTATTGGGTTATGCATGAAATTACTCACCGGATCTGCTCCCATCTTTATATATATAACAATATACTACCGATTAAATCACAATTGTCACTAAAATTTGTCCCCTAACTAAGCTGAAAATCATTGAACTAGTAGATCTAAGATTACTTCGGCAAAAAAGATAGGCCGTCTGAACGGACCATATCCTCTGCGGACTAGCTAGTATATCTAGCACGGTACATGTTCCTTTGTTTGTAAGGATTAGTCTTTAATTAATTATCAAAGTTTAACTAGTAGTATTCCTTGTCCTTAACGGTTTTGTAAGTATGTCCGAGTACTTCTATGTAACTGCTGCAATATGTTGGCTATAAATACCTTCCATCAGTAATGCACAACACACGGTTATCAATAGCCATTCCACCTTTGTGCGTGCCACTGCCGTCTTCGCAATTACGTTTTTACACTACTACACATATTAGTACTCCGGCCTCTTGCAAGCAAACAATGGTGAAGTTGTCGTCCCTGTTTGTGGCGGCGGTCCTCTTTCTCGTGGTGGCACTGGCACCAGCCGTCTCAGCCTCGCGAGCGTCGGTGTATAGCGTGACGAGCTACGGTGGTATGGCGGAGCCAAAAACAGACTCGACGAGAGCTTTTTCGGAAGCATGGAAAAGAGCGTGCAGCGACCCGCGCCCGTCTGTTGTGTACGTGCCCTATGGAAAGTTTCACCTCCGAGACATAGCGTTTGAAGGGCCGTGCAAGAGCAACGCTATCGTGGTGCGTATCGACGGAACCCTGGTGGCTCCGTCCGACTACTCCGTCATTGGGAATGCCGGGAACTGGATTCGGTTTCACAAAGTTGACGGCGTACGGATCTCTGGCGGGATACTTGACGGACAAGGCACCAGGCTATGGTCTTGCAAGCTTGCCGGGAAGGACTGCCCCGTCGGCACCACGGTAATTAATTAATTAATTAAGTCTTGTATGTATATATATTATGCAATTACTTTTTTTTTTTTTTTTGTTCCAGTTTTCTTCTTCCCCGTTATACGTACGTTGCTAACCTAGCTAAATATAACAAAATCTCGCTTTTGTTCCGTGATGACTTACTTATGGATGGTGTTGCTGCCTGTGGTTTTGCATGCAGAATTTGCACATCGCCAACTCCAAGAACGTGGTGATCGACAGACTAAGCTCCGTGAACAGCCAGAAGTTCCAGATCGCCATCACGGACAGCCAGAACGTGAAGCTCCAGCGCGTGACGGTCACCGCCCCGGGAAGCAGCCCCAACACGGACGGCATCCACGTGGAGAGATCCAGCTTGGTGTGGATCCTCAACTCCACCATCTCCACGGGCGACGACTGCATCTCCATGGGCCCCGGGGCCCGCAACGTCTGGATCGAGCGAGTGGCGTGCGGGCCGGGCCACGGCATCAGCATCGGGAGCCTGGGCTGGAAGTTCCAGGAGCCCGGCGTGGAGAACATCACCGTCAAGAGAGTCCACCTCAGCGACACCACTAACGGTCTCCGGATCAAGACGTGGGCCCGCCCCAGCTTGGGTTTCGTCAGCAACGTCCTCTTCCATCACGTCGTCATGGACGGCGTCAAGAACCCCATCCTCATCGACCAGCACTACTGCCCCGGCCACGGCCAGAACTGCCCCAGCAAGGCATCCGGGGTCAGGGTCAGTGGCATCAGGTACAAGAGCATACGTGGCACCTCGAGCACCCAGGTCGCCGTCAGGTTCGACTGCAGCAAGTCCAACCCCTGCACCGGGATTACGATGCATGACGTGGCGCTTACTTACCTTGGTAAGGAGGCCGCCGTCACGTGTGTGAATGCGAGGGGTACTTCTTCCGGCTTTGTCACGCCGCTGGTCCGCTGGTCCTAGGCTACGTTTGCGAGCTTTGGCTTTGGGTCGTATGTAGTTTAGTTATTTAATTCCTTCTTAGCTAACACCATCGCCTTCTTTCTCATCCTATATATCTAATTCTGTATTTCGAGATTAATTTACAAATTCTGGTTTGTCTTATTAACGATTCAAAAAAGTGAGTGCACCCAAAAAAGTGAGTGCACCGAAGTAGCCACATATATATATATATGGTGATGACTGGTGTACGCCAGGTTTATAGTATACGTCAGGTGATCTAGCCGTTAGATGTAGTTAGATGAGCTCCGACCGATCTCAACGGTCAATTTTTGTTTTTCATTAAATCATACTTCGGGTTGGGGTTTAGAAAATCGGTGCCTGGGGTTTATCCATTAGAGGTTAGGGTATAGTATCATACCCCAAACTCGATTTAATTCATGGTTTAGATAGAGATATCTCACTAGTAGTACCTGACGTATAGTATACGTCTGACGTACACCAGTCTGACCCAATACTGGTGTACGTCAGACGTATACTATACGTCAGGTGATCTAGCCGTTAGATGTAGTTAGATGAGCTCCGACCGATCTCAACGGTCAAGTTTTGTTTTTCATTTAATCAAACTTCGGGTTAGGGTTTAGAAAATGGGTGCCTGGGGTTTATCCATTAGAGGTTAGGGTATAGTATCATACCTCAAACTCGATTTAAGATAGAGATATCTCACTAGTAGTACCTGTCGTATAGTATACGCCTGACGTACGCCAGTCTGACCCATGTATATATATATATATATATATATATATATATATATATGGTTTAGGCTAGCGTACGCCCGGGCGTACATTAGACTACCGTACGCCCGTTTGAGTTTTGCTATTTAGATCATGAATTAATCGGAGTTTTGGACATGATACTATACCCTAACCACTAATGGATAAACCCCAGTCCCTAGTTTTATAACCCAAATCATGAGATTCGTTTAATCTTAAAATGAAAATTGACAATAAATTCGATGAATCAGAACCGTTGATTTTCATTTCAAGATTAATTGAATATTATGCTTTGGGTTAGTGAATTGCGGACTGGGGTTCACCCATTAGGGGTTAGGATATAATATCATGCCCCAAACTCCGGTTAATTCATGGTCTAAATAGCAAAACTCAACGGGCGTACGGTAGGCTAGGGTACGTCTGGGCGTACACTAGCCTTTGCCATATATATATACATACATATAGGTGACTACTTCGGTGCACTCACAAAAATGGGTGCGTTCAATGCACCCAACTCAAAAACTAGTCTTAAGGTGTCGGATGTTGAATTTTAATTTGTAGAATCAGTGTAATATGATGATATAACGTATGATAACAACTAATTAGCCGATTACCCTAAGCCTTAGACCTCCAATTTTGAGTTCTATCCCTAAACCCCAAATTGTAAACCCTAACCCTAACCCTAAATCTCTAAACTCTAAATCCGTCAAATTAAAGTAAATCTTCAATGGTTTTTGTGCAAATTCATGTGCGTTATTGTTCATCATATCATAAGTGATGATTAACATCATTTTTACATAAATCGCATGTTTAAAACGATGGTTATGAAGTGAATGCACTGAACGCACCCAAAAAAGTGAGTGCACCGAAGACGCCACCATATATATATTATAAAGTTTAATTTCCATGGTACGTACTTTTACTGTATTGTCTTAAAAAAAATTAAAGGCAGGTTTTCCACCAATCCTGCAAATGAAACTGTCCTGCTACATGCAAGGATCTATAAGAATTAAGAAGCTAACTAAACATGGTTTCATTTTGACACCTTTAACACAAATTCATAAAGAAGAACAAATTTTATAAAAACATAATTATCTTTTCTTTTTTAAATAACTTAGGATTCATCAGACATAGAGGATAACACTGAGCCCCAAAGATGCGACTATATTACATTATTGTCAGGAGAATGGAGTTCTAACAGCAAACGGTTGACTGTTAGTTCAATAATTAGGATGGTAATCGGATTCACCGGATGTACAGTTAACCATCTACTGACGATCTCGATTTGACACTCTCGAATACCGTTCGTGTTTCCTTGCTTGTCGTTAGTTGACTCCCCCCGAATTTGGAAGCGACATGTACATAACAGAGACAAAAAAAAATTGTTTTTTTTTATTTCAAAAATAATTTCCAAAAAATAAAGGAAATTTTAAATTTTACTTTTTTTTATGCGCCAAAAAATTATCATTAAACTCCAGGACACTAATTAACTAAGGGTCTCACAAATGTACTTGCTACAAAACGATGTATACTCATCAATTGCAACCTGGACAAAATTGGTTAGCTATAGAAATTCTCTATTGCTATACTCAATTCTAAGTTACTGAAAACTAAGCAGGAGACCTCAGACTTAATGCGAGCAACCAACTGGAGGTGAGAGCAGACTCTACGATCACAATAAACCCGAGAGCACCTTTCTTTCCACGCACTACTCAGAACCACCACCCACACCAACTTCTCAATCAGAGCAGCCTCACACTTCTATCCATTCCAATGACAAACAGCCCACTGCTGAGCTGAAGACCAATCAGAGTGTTCAGGAATCAAAATACCTACCAGGAATCCTCGCTGCATAGCTTGAAAGTGAGATCAAGTAGCAAAGAGGTGGTCTTGTCCTCAGCACGTCCTGGACAGAGTACACAAGCCTGATCCAAAACCTTTCCCCAACTAATGAGTTTGTCATTAGTGAAGATTAAGCCAAACAAGCACACAATGCTTAGGGACGATAATATTACCCCATAGCAATCGTGCCCGCTCCACCAAAGGTTGTTGACCACAAATAGTTTGCCAAACCCTCTTCAATGAAAATCGATTCATAGCCAGATTATCCCACTTCAAGGAGCGGCTCTCCCCCTGTAATGAAAGGGAAAACAAATCCTCTGGTCTTGAGGATTCGCTTCCAAATCCAAGACTCAACAGTTGTAGGGGAAACCTCCAAAACATATCTAGCTTTGAGCCGGTATCTCTTTATCCAAGCTACCCATAACGAACCATGTTCTGCCAGTATATTCCAAAGATGAGGCACAACACAAGCTTTAAATTATTCCAAAGTCTGAAATCCCTAATTCCCAGACCCCCTTCAGACTTAGGTAATGCAACAAAATACCAAGCAACCAGCCCCTTAGCACGAGATTCACTCACTCCCCAAAAGAAATTATTGCATATAACTTCCACATCCTTCAAAATTGAAGCGAGGAGAAATATGTTCATCCAGTATTGCAAAACACTCGATATAACTAAGGAACTCAAATGTATTCGACCTGCATAATTCAATAGCTTAGGTTGCCAACCTCGAATCCGAGCGGTAATACGATACACTAGAACCTGACAATCAGCCCTAGATAATTTCCCATAGATCAAAAGGGCACCTAAGTATCGAACAGGCGGAGCACTAATAAAAGCTAAAATAAATTCTTGCTCCATAACAGTAATTCCCCCCACATAACATCTTACTCTTTTCCGGAGTATACCTTAGCCCAAAAATGCTATAGAACTCATCCAATAACCTCCTGATACCAGCCACTCCTCTTGCAGAACCATTCGTAAAAACCAAAACATCATCAACAAAACAAAGATGGGTGATACCAATCTGTTTACACCGGGATGAAAAGGAATAGAGTTCTCCATGGAAGTCTTATGCATAAGACATGAAATGACCTCCATGGCTATTGTAAACAGAGATGGTGACAAAGGGTCACCTTCACAAAGCCCTTCGCCAGCCGAGAAATAAACACAAAGACCACCATTGAATAAAACACTAAATTTTGGAGTGGTGACACAGACCTTAACCAGCTCAACAAAACTATCAGGAAACCCATTGGTAGCCATAACTTTAAAAAGAAATAACCAGTCCACAGAGTCAAACGCTTTTATAATATCTATTTTCACCATGCAAGGGGAGTGATTGAACCCCTGTGATAATCCTTAACTAACTCAGAAGCCATCAAGATATTATCACTAATGAGTCGCCCTTTTACAAATGCAGACCGAGAGGAACTGATAACTTTAGGCAGAACAGAAGCCAACCTATTAGCTAACAGTTTGGAGATACCATTGTATAAAACATTACAACAAGTTATAGGGCGAAAATCTTTCATTCATTCCACATTTAAGAGCTTAGGAACTAAGAAAGGATAGTGGACTTTACCTCTTGTGGTAGAGACTTAGTCTAAAAAAACCACAAAACAGCATCCTCCACATATTTGCCTACAACTCCCCATTCTGCCTTATAGAAATTGGCAGGGTATCCATCCGGATCAGGGGCTTTGTCAGGAGCCATAGAACAAAACACAAGCTCTATCTCCTCTCGAGTAACTTCTCTGCACAAGTCATGTGAGTCTGTTGGATCCAGTTTAAGCAAGAGAACGTCATTGAAAAAGCTAAGGGGCATGTCCAAAACCTCTAGATTAGAAGAACCAAATAGACCCTTGTAAAATGAGACTGCTAGCTCTCCCATGCGCTCAACATCATCCACAACAACTCCCGTATCAGAAATTAGTGGATCAGTAGTCTGCCTTTTAGCTTTAGTCTTGACATAATAATGAAAGTAGGTCGTATTTAAATCACCTTCAACCACACACTACACTCAAGACTTTTGTTTATAAAAAATCTTCTCTGCTTTCTGAAGTCGAAAACATGTGAGAGACAGCTCTTTCTTCACACCAATATGCTCAGGGGTAGGATCCAAATGGACTATTTGCTGAGCTGTTGTAAATAACTCTTTAGCCTCCCTAGCCCTAGCTGAAATATCTAAGTACTGAGTACGATTGAGTGCAATAAGTCTCTTCTTTAACCTCTTCAACCTCCTAGACAAAAGACAGAAAGGATCCCCACCTTGAGTTGAACCATCCCAAGCATCTGAGGATGAGATATCCAAAACTTAAAGTACTTAAATGGCTTAGGCAGGCTTTTAACCATACGAACATAAGTCAACAAAAGACCACAATGGTCTGAGACACCAGGGCTTGTTGTTCTTCCTGAGCTTGATGAACATATCCAACCAAAGACCATTAAATAACACTGTCAATACGCGTGGCAATGAGATTACCCTCTTGAAGATTCTACTTGGTGTACCATGATCCAGTGATCTTATGATCAACTAACTGCATATGTTTAATCCAATTCCTGAAGTCCAACATGCTTTGAGTCACAGCAATAACATTCGAGGCTTCATCAACTTTTGCAATGGCATTAAAATTTACAGTTTGAACGCTTTCTTGGTGGAAAAAGATACATGATAGTCACATCAATAAATTATGTTGAGTTACTAATAATTAAATAACTGGACCATTAAGTATCAACTCAAACACTAGGGTATAATTGTTTCATTAGTATAGAAATTAGGATTGTATTAGTAATTATTAAAACTCGAGACCAAAATGATATATTTAGATAAAGGCAGAGACCATAGTGGCATATTAACCCGAAAGAAAAATGGAACAGAAACAAAAGGAAATACAATGAGATGTGAAGGGGTCTACTATCCTCATCTTCAAGATAAAACCCAAGACGGGGTGGGATAGCGTCATTTCCCCCTATGGGGGTTGTGATTTTCGCTTCCCCCTTCCCAACCTTAGATGGCCTTTTTACATCCGATGGTTCAGAAAAGAGCAAGGACTTGTGTGTAACTAGTTTTATAGGATTGATTTTGAAAATTAAAAATAAATGCATGGGGAGCGTGATTTGTGGGATGGAATGATACTAACCATAATTGCGTCCCGCTATGTTTCCATTCCTAAAATCTTACCCTTCCATAATTGCCTGCAATACTTCGTTGGAAATCCCTTCACGCTGCCGCCGGATTACAATGGACAACAACATGGACCACGAGGCCGACGTAGATGGTGTCGGAGCTGAACAACTTGGTTTATTTGGGGTCAACCTGAACGTCCCATACATATGCAATGACGATGCGGTAGCTGAAGAGACAGAGAATGATGGTGATGTTATCATGGTGGACCATGCATGATTTTTTGACGACGAGGACCTGGTCAACGAAGAGACAGGGCAAAAATGAGAAGGAGGAGAATGTTAACGTGGAGAAAAGCAACAATTTCGAGCTTCAGGTTGTGGCACCCTTGGAATAGAATGATGACAACACGATGAATATCACATGCAGCAACATTCTTGATAGGGTTAACCAGTGCAGTATTTAGTGGTACCACTAGTGAGTTAGTGGTAGATTGTTATTAGTGGTATTATATAGTAGTGATAGTCATATGTACCACTGGTAAGTACCGTTGCTGGGTACTGGTACTTGAACGTGTATCACTACTAGGTGCGGAAGACAAGTTCTGCTAGTGGTACCCACTAGTGGTTTATGATCCACACAAGCAATATTCAATGCATGCATTTTCAAGCAACACATATGAGAACAGGGGCTATGAAGCAGACCTTTTGCCAATGGAAGGTTGTTCGATTCCAATGCGGGTTGACGAGAAAGTATGGTCCACAGAATGTTTTATGTGTAAGGAGGGATAAACAATGGAGCAAAGTTGAAAAATGAAGTCAGTGGCTTCACAACTAAGAACAACCCTCGTGGTGGTTACTGGTACTTATAATTGTACCACACATATAGTGGTAACTATTATTGGTTTCTGTACCCCAGTAATAGTTACAGTTACAGATACAGATACCATTATTGTAATAGTTACTGGTACAAGAACTTGTAGTGGTAACCACTCCTGGTTTCTGAACCACCAGTAATAATTACTGGTATAGATACCACTAGTGTTATCTATCCTACTACTGGTCACTGTTTAATAACTAGAAACAAGAGAACTCATAATCGAAGATAAATCCAAAGCAAGTGGTTCACCACCATTACGCGTTTTGACCAACACATATGTTTGACATGGAAACTGAAATAGAACTAAAATCCAACAAATTCAAATCTTTGTTCACACTCCACACCATACATAAACCAAATACATACTCCTCAAACTTTGAGAAAAGAGCTATTGCTGGGTCTGCTGTGTATATCCATGGAGTAAACCCTCCCTCATCTGAAAAGCTCTAGCCGTCAGCTCCTCGAGCCTCAGATTGCTTGGATGACTCCCCTTCACGGATCACAACCTGCCGAGTTTCATGCGTAATAGGTTGTTTTCCTCTAGGGTCTCCTTCTAGCGGAAAGTGTTCTGCCATCGACACGACGCATGAAATTTTTGTTCTCACCATTCCTGGTACAAAAATAAACAAAATACATTTGTTAGAAATATTGATTTAAACTTACAATACCAACTCTACGAATGAATCAAAAGAGAGAATCGCTAGTGGTACTTGTACATGTCCAACTAGCGTTATTGGTACCCGAATCACTAGTTGTACTGGTACATGTACCACTAGTTAGATTTGGACCACTACCACTAGAACTCCTACCAATACCACTACCAAATTGATATTTGATACCAATTCAAAGTACCACTGCATTATACAAACAACAAACGATACACCCAAGAAAGAAAGGATTGCATGATTTGATTCCAATGTGCCATCGGAAATATATATATAAAAACTTGTAGGATTCAGAAACCTCACCTGTGGTGTTTTCAACCGTCGTAGCAAGGGTCGACGGCGGAATCATGTGCGCCGATGCACTGCAAGAACAATTTAATTGAGTTGTGGGTTAAGACGTGTGGCTTAAAACAAGAAGACAGGTGGGTGACGACCAACTCAAATCAGTCAATGGAGATTCAACCGAGTGGAATTTCAATCAAACAAAATCCAAAAGAAAGGCGTGGATGAAATACATCGGACTTACCTCAGTTCTCAACGATCTAGCCTCCGAACCCAGCGGCGAAACGACGCGAGATGATGCGGGGGAAAGGGGACCGGCGACACTGTATATCTGCGCCGTTGCGAGATTTATCTTTTGGGGGGTTTTGGGAGCAGACGGAGGGAAGAGGGATGATGGCCAAACGAACTTTTTTTTGCAAGTAAGGTGGCTGATTAGCCTCCGAAAATCTTTTCCCATTCAAACCCGAAGATCGCGCGTCATCATGCGTGGACTGTGGAGTGAGCGGATCCGGTGCAACACCTCTCTTTTTTGCCCCTCATAAATATCGGCCGCCAGATCAAGAGGAAGAGTCATCTACGCCAGGGAAGGGGGAGCCAAATCCACAACCCTCTAGGGGTTGTGAGTTGTGACTCTATCTAACCCCAACCCAAGACCCTTCATAATTTGGCCTTTCCCTTCCTCAGCTACTACTCTTCTGGCATCCCGCTGCCGGGGGCACCTTCATAATTTCGCTCCGGACGAAAGACCGGCGGCCGGGAGCTGGTTCTCACGAGGTTGAAAGATAAAACTTCAGAGAACCAATCATGGCTTCCCTCTTCATCTCCAACCCTAATCTCTCCTCTCCCTTTGTCCCCCAAACCCTGTAAGTTCTCTCCCCCAATTCCCCTTTCCATTCCCCTTTTCTGCTAATCTCGGTTGAAATTCAACTCGAGCTATCTTTTTCTATCGTTATGAACCTTGCTTAACTTATTATTGTTGCTTCTGTTATTCGTCTTCCCCAATTTATTCTGGTTCCGTGCAGTAAACGCCTACAGAAGAATGACGCGACGGCGGCTTTGTCTTACAATCCGCTTCCCAGGAGCTCTAGAAGCCTTACCGTCGTCAAGTGTTCCGTGGATGCCCCTTATGAAGGTAAAATTCCATTTCCATCATATTACTGATACCAGTCTAACTCGACCAGCCTGAAAAGAGTGGCTCTTTAGCAATTCTGTTTGATGATTTTCGTCATTAGTGAATCTTACCTTTCTCTATAGGTCTAGAGATAGCCAATTTGATTGTGAGCAGAAGTTTCTTAGATGGTTTTCTGTGTGAAGGTTTTGGCTTTGTTCACCTGGCGTGTTGAAGATACTTCTTTTCTTTTGTGTTGTACAATGTGCCATATTCTAGTTGAACTTCATTTGACCAGTTGTTGAAAGTTTGATATAGACGGTGATTGATGATATGCGTGTTGGTGTGTGCAGGAAATGTGCCGAAGTTCCCTCGGATGACTGTTTGGGATCCTTATAAGCGTCTGGGAGTTAGCCCTTATGCTAACGAGGAGGAAGTTTGGGGTGCTCGGAATTTTCTCTTGGAACAGTATTCAGGACATGAGGGAAGTGAAGAATCTATAGAAGCTGCTTTTGAGAGACTTCTGATGACCAACTTCAAGCAAAGTAAGAAGACTAAGATTAATTTGAAAACCAGACTAAAGAAGCAGGTGGATGAATCACCAGCTTGGGTGAAGAACTTGCTCAGCTTTGTAGAGCTGCCTCCAATGGATATCATCTTCAGAAGATTGTTCCTTTTTGCATTTATCGGTGGATGGAGTATCATGAATTCTGCTGAAGGAGGACCTGCTTTTCAGGTGTGTTCTATATTTGCTATGATCCCCATCACCGAATGTGTCTCCAGTTATCTTATACCGAGGATGCTAGTTTGGTTCTCTGAGATGTTAGATTTAGCAAAGTATGAATATGGTGTATAAAGATTAGAGATGGGGCTTTTTTATCCGAAAGTCACATTCTAATTTCTGTTCTGAATCACAAAATCCTTGAGGAGAATGGAGAAATTGAGGCCTTGAGATAGAGATTTTGGACTAACCTCGGGGGATGAAGTGTAATTAATTAGGAAAATAGGTGTGGCCCACTGGATATGTTGATTGTTACAGTTAAGGAAAATGGTTCGTTTAGTGTCCTCGTGTAACCCCTATTGCTGTTTTTCCAGTTGCATCCCCACTTTCTGAAATCCCGTTGTTATGGTTGCATAAAGCTAGGTCCTAAGAATACTCTCTGATTCAGGCACACATGAAAGGGAGATTCTTGTCAGAATAGAATGGGATTGGATGGAATTTAACTGCCATAAGTTAGCTATTATTGTGCATTTATTTTAATGCTGCAATTAAATTGCCTGACTTTTGATGTATGTTAGCTTGTCAACTCTCAAGATGTTTGCATTTTGGGTCTAAGGAGATAAGTAATAGGAGTGGCTGACAATCTGGACCATCCAGTGTTTCAAATATGTGGCACGCCAATTATTAAGAAAGTTTTTTTTTTTTGGCATTCTCGCACTTTCAATGGATTAAACGGACAAGTTATGCTGTATTCGTTCTGTTTGTCAACTTTAGAAAAGCTTGTTTCCATTTCAATCTTGCGCTGGCATCAGAAATGGTTGATAATTCAATTGTTTCTCTAATCTCTGTTCCTTAGCCTGTTTTCATATTCATCTTCCAGCAATCCCCCCTTCTTATCTCCTTGCTCATATATCGAGCCAGCCTTGGATGATGAATCGATTGTCTTTGGTGTTGAGATTTTGTTTCTGAATTCAGATGGAGATTGTGCTCACTTGTATGTTGTGTATTAAAGGAGCAGAGCTATTTTTGTTGTTGCAGGTGGCTGTCTCTTTGGCAGCGTGCATATATTTCCTCAATGAGAAGACAAAGAGCCTAGGCAGAACTTTTTTTATCGGGTGAGTATATGAATCATCAGTCGTCTTTTCATCTTAAACATGAAGTTGTTTAACTCACTAAACTGTCTCTGCATATTACAGTCTAGGAGCTCTTGCAACTGGGTGGGTATGCGGCTCCATACTCGTTCCCATCATTCCAACAGTTGTAATACACCCTACATGGACACTGGAATTCATGACGTCGCTGGTAGCCTACTGTTTCTTGTTCCTCGGTTGCACTTTCCTCAAATGAAGTAAACACTAGCTAGTATACCAGTGTATGAACTTGGGTTACATATTTCATTCATAACAATTATCCATGCGAGTCGATACCTGTGTTGCATTGATTCTTAGCTTCTTTTTCGGGTTAATTGCATGGTTGGTCACTGATATTACAAAATATGTTCAAGTTTGGTCACTCGAAATATTTAAATCCATTGGTGGTACTTTATTTTACTGAAACCGTTCATGTTTGGTCACTCTTCGTCTAATTCCGTTAACTTTTGCTTACATGGCGGTCAATTCTAAAAGTTGACCGTTAAATGTGTGACGTGGAAATTAAAAAATTATTAAAAATAAAATTTAATCTTTGTATAATTTTCACCTCATTTTTACAAATATTAAAAATTGAAAAAAAAAATCTCCTAATTTTTCATCCCCTCCAACAAACCTCAGACCTTATTCCATCAAATAGAGATTCAGACTTTGAAATATTTAATCAAAAACAAACAAAAACATAATGTTTTCCCACTGTACAGTCTCTTATCTTTCCTTCGTGTTGCTTTCTACATGTGTTTAGGTGGCTTTGCTTTTGGGTTACGATTGAGATGTGTTGATTTTGGGTTTTTGTTATTGATTTTCACCCATCCAGGAAGCTAATGAGAACCAGTAGTAGCAGGAAGAACCCTTCACCACACTATTCCGCCACCATACCTTTTTCCACCACCGTCCTGTTATTCTTCTCCACGATACTCACCCTCCTCATCCATTCTTCAGCCACAGCCTTGTCGAGCAACGTTTGGCCCAAACCCTGCACCTTCATATCCTGGTCCTCGCTGCGCACGATCGCCACACTCTCCCGAACCTTCCAATTCGATTCCCCCTCATCATCATCCAACCACTACCTCTCCGCCGCCGTCGCTCGCTACCACCGCCTCATCTCCTCCAAGCGCCACCGCGCCATATCCGACACCACCACCACCAACTTCTCCACATCACCCTCTCCCCTCCAATCCCTCTCCATCTCTGTCGCTGACCTCGCCGCTGCGCTCGTCTACGGCGTCGACGAGTCCTACAACCCTCTCCATCCCCAATTCCGCAACCGTAAATCTCACCGCCGCCACCGTGTGGGGAGCCATGCGGGGGCTGGAAACCTTCTCCTAGCTGGTGTGGGGGCGGTGGCGCGTGCCGGTCGAGGTGGAGATCCTCGCGCCACTGTTCGTGCACAGGGGGTTTCTGTTGGACACGTTGAGGAATTTCTATCCGGTGGAGGATATCCTCGTTGCGAACGTTGATGGAATAAGGTCTGAGGTTTGTTGGAGGGGATAAAAAATTAGGGAGTTTTATTTTTTAATTTTTAATATTTGTGAAAATGAGGTGTAAATAATACAAAGATTAAATTTTATTTTTAATAATTTTTTAATTACCACGTCACACATTTAACGGTCAACTTTTAGAGTTGACCGCCACGTAAGCAAAAGTTAACGGAATTGGACGGAGAGTGACCAAACATGAACGATTTCAGTAAACTGAAGTACCACCAATGGATTTAAATATTTCGAGTGACCAAACTTGAACGTTTTTGTTATTTACCATGCAATTAACCCCTTCTTTTTCTATGAATTTCTTATACAAATTCCCCACCTGCAAATGCAATATAGTATTTTGACTATTTTGACTTGGTGTAAAAGTGAGAGATCAATCACAATTCCACCATGTCATGTTCCTGTTACTGACCAACTCGCAGTCGTAGCACAACTCGTTCTGCTTATTGCTCCATCCATACGCGAGTATGTATGGATAGGGTACGTACGCGAGTAGAGGAGAAGCGGTTGTTGAGGAAATCAATTAGGAGGGGATGATCTTTGGGGACGACGCCGTAACGTAACAAATCCTGGCGTGGCGTCGATCAAGCAGCTCTTGATGTTGCCCCAGTAGTGGTCGTTGACGTAATAGCCGTCGAGATTGTAAATCTTCAATTTAGTGACGGTCCGGGCGATGCTCTGGTTGGTGACCAAGATGAGGAATATGGTGAAGAGGGCAAGCAGGACGATGGCGGCGAACGTGACAATCAAGTAGAGAAAGAGGAAGCAGCTGTTCCGCCACGCCGACCAGCATCGCGCCGGTCATCAGGAGCGGCTTCTGGATGCACTGCGTCGTCGACTCGCCGGCGACCATTAGGTACAAACCGCTGCCGACGGCTAAAAGCCCTATCACTAATAGGATGGTGTTGATTATCGCCACCAATGCATTGCTGATAGTCGTCGCCATTGCTCCTCTCTTCCCTTGGTTGGATTCTTTTTTCTTTTGTCTCCTCGCTTTCAACTTTTTCGTCAGATCGGCGAGTGTGTGTGGATAGACACCATAAAGACACAGAGCGAATTAAACTCTCTTTGTTTTTCTGTGTTCTGTTTTGTGGGAGCCGGTGAGTAACCTTGTGGTGAGTAACCCTATGCATAACCCAATAAGAATCTGCCACATCAGCGCCTCCTTCTCTCTCCTGGAAAAATCATTAATTTTCTTTCCCTTAATCTTTAACGGACGATTTCTCACTCGTTTTAAAAAATACCAGTCAATATAGTATGAAAAATACCAGTCAATACCAGCATACCATATGGTATGAAAAATACCAGTCAATACCATATGCTTTTATTTAGTACCAGTCAATACCATATGGTATTAAATAGCAGCATACCATATGGTATGAAAAATACCACCTCATACCAGGGTGGTATAGTATGGTATGGAGTTGGTAACGAGAGGTTTGAAATTTTTTCCCCATAAAATTTTGAAATCCAATAGATCGTGATTAAATCGTTCCTTTTGTGCAAATATTTTCGAAAATGACTAAACAACGAAGGAGATACCATATGGTATGGAGTTGGTAACGAGAGGGATGCAAATTTTTTTCTCAAAAAATATTGAAAATGGATATCATTTTGTAGAGCACAACGAACTCCTTCCATCTGTGCAAAAAAAAATTGAAATCCGAGTTAGAATAAAGAAGATATGATCCAATTAAGAAAACTAGGGAAAATAAATTCCTTTAATTCTCCACCCTTAGATCTGCAGTCACTTAAAAGAAGGGTCCAGATTTGGTTACTCATTGTTACTCACCCTATCTTGAGCCATGTTTTGTGGATCTCTTCTTATTTACTTTTTTGCGTGTGTATAGGTATATTTTGTCTTTTAATTCGGTTTTTTGAAGTTGCGAAACGGTCACCTTAAAAAAGAAATATACTTGTGAAACGCTTTTTTTTTTTTTGACAAAAGATAATCATATATTGATACGTATGAATAGATCATTACATCACATGCCTTAGCCAGGCCATAAAATCAAAAGAACGATTCGCTATCGGGTACAAAGAAAGGGCCTTCCTAGCCACCAAGTGGGCTACCCTGTTACTACGCCGACCAACGAACCGAACACTAAACCCTGCACGAACACTAAACCCTGCAATCTCATTCTGGTAGAGCAACACCTCACGAAAAATAGCTCCCGCTCTGTTATCACCTCCCTGAGCCAAATGAAGCCTATCAATCACCACCTTCGCATCCCCCTCAAACCGAACAAGGAGACGGCCTCTGTTCTGACACCAAAGGACGGCATCCCGGAGGGCCAACAGCTCCACCAGCAACGGATCATCGACCTCCGGAAAACACACACCCATCGCACCAACCACCCCTCCGCCCGGGTCCAGTAGCACCATCCCTCCAGCTGAGTGCGACCCCAGTCTAATAGCTCCATCCCATCGACAAATAAAAGAATCCTGGTCACCAGGGGGCTCGACAGGGATGGCCCGCACAGGGGCACCCCCCGCGATTTCCCTTGGAAGCGAATCCCATTCCCTCAACTGTTGTTGGTATTGCCGAAAAAGGATCGGTATCCCAAACTGTTTGCCTTCAAAGTTCAAAGACAACCCAATTCCGAGACTTCCAGATCCGCCAGAGCACGGCTACAATTGCCATGACCTGGGAAGGCTCCCTAACAACGGCCAGAAGTTTCTGGAGGAAGAGAGGAAAAGTGAGCCGAGGCAAACCCTGGCCCATGTGCTCCAGACCCGCTAAATCCCACAATTCTCGAGCCACACAACAGTCAAAAAAAGATGTTTCATTGTTTCTGGCGCCGCCCAGCACACGGGGCATCGAGGATGAACAGCCACCTTCCTACTAATGAGGGCTTCTGTAGTGGGTAGAAACCTATACAGCACTTGCCATAGGAATACTTTCAACTTAGGCGGAATAGCCAAGTTCCACACCCGCTTCCAACTTCCTCGGTCCATCCAACTCACCATGGGGCGCCAACCCCCAGCTTGCTAGTCAAGGCGCACGCTTCTTTTATTAGTAGGGTTTGTTCAATTTTGTTTCATAACACCGACCAGTGAGATTTCAAACGGCCTTCTCTTTAATGTTTTGCTAAGTGGTATGGCGTCGGATGCTTGTAGTGACTAGTGAGGCGATTGATTGTTAAATTATGTAGAAAATTGGAAATCTCAATTCAACGATTCAATTGTAATTGATAATACGCGATTTGAGATGAAGTGGATGAGTTTTTGTAAGAGCTCTAAAATTAAACGTAATCATTGTAGAGTAGTACATAGACGGGGTCTCTCGGGAAGTCACTATGATGCACCCGCAATCAAAGCCGTATCGGAGTAGGCCCAAAATGAACAATATCATTGTCGAAAAGTTGTTGAGATATTATAGGTGGTATCAGAGTCTCCCTTTTTGAACAATTATGTGACAAACCTCAAAGAGAATGTTGAGTCTCAAAGGAGGTGTACGTAACACCTTAGGTTAATCACACATCGACAATTCACGAGAGAAAATTCATGATTTATAAGGATCAATTTTAAGGACTAGACGTATTTTAGGGGCGAAATTGATAAATTCTTGTAAGTAGTCTAACGTATTTTATTTATTTATAGAACTCTGTGAGAACCTTATTCAACAGATACTGCGATTACATTGTCCAACAAAATCTTATCAACAAGAATAGTAGATGGCCTGACGAATCAAATCACACTCTCGTTC